TTGAACGAAATTAGAGTATCTGACATGATACAGACATTTTATCTGAATGAACAGTGTCCGTCAGAATGGAACGAGAAAACAAATGGATAAAAATATAATTTATTCCAGAAATCACCGCCGCACTGCGTAGTCTGAAAATTGCGGTGAGATAACCATCTCTAATTAGGATGATGATTCCTAAAACAGAACTGTAGAATACACGGTTTGTGAATAGATAGCGCTACCAATTGTGTGGTCCGTTGCGACTAGCTGACTCTTTTCAAACCAGGGTGGTGGTGGTGGTCGGAAGGCGAGCGTCATCATCATAACAACAAATTATTTATCAGCAGATGAAAATCAATGATTGCAATGATTACATAAAGCACCAACCAAAGCCTAGTTCGCTCAATGTTCTCTGAGGTGCAGGTTTTTGGGAACAGAACTCCAATCAATAACCCGTGAAAGAAACTTTATGTTTGTTCGCTGCGTTACAATTCACGAGCCGCTCAATCATTAAATCTGGGCTCCATTAAAAACGTTCACCTTTGTCAAAATTCGGTTCTTCAGGGAATGTTCTCAATATATTTTCTCTAGTCCACTGGACACAAATCACATTTGGGAAGGGAATCATTGGCGTTTATATATAAACCTGAACCAATCAGATTGTTCAGGTCGGCAAAATTAAAGTCCTGTACGGACCGATCATAAAAATGCAATTGATGCAGTAAAACAAAACGATCAATTCAAACAACATTACAACACAAACTTCCTCAAATCGGATCACACATTACTAAACACAAACGATTCAAAAACGACTGCGCTGAAAGTTATGAATATGGAACTGTAGAACTTCATGCTTGCTGACATCACACAAACGATTATCGACAGATGTCAGTCGCACAGCTTCTCCCAGCAATAAGCCGGTCCGCGGTAAGACAGACAGTTGGTGAGCCTGAACATAAAGATTAGGATGGCGTACCACACGTCCATACATTGATGATGCTTATCCAAGGCAGTGAGCTCTTTTAAAAGAATACTATTGGTTAAAAATACTTAGTCCATGATGACTACTGGTTCATGAACCACGCAAACGAGGGGAAAACAGACTACAGTCCTTGCAAAAATTGTCAGGCACCGATGATACGCGATCACTTACTTCTTTTACTCGAGCCCGAAGCACTTCGGTGTCCAAATTATCTAAACTTTTAGCGACTCGTACCACTTCGTCCGTGCTAGGACGTTCATACACCTTTCCAACTCGACCTTTTGAACCCACACCACCTGAATCCGCAGATATATAACCGGGATCTGTGCTTTTGGCCAGAGAATTTGACATCACTGGATCGACCGATGTTCGTGCAGCCGTAAATGCTAGTTCCATCGACGGAGTTGGTTGTTTTGATGAAAGCCCGGACGGTTCAGTAGCTGACGGCTCGATTGAGGCACCCGGTTGCGTGGATACGTCTGAAACTGACAACCAGGAACGGATTTGGGTATAAAGCGAACGACGTGGCAAAATCAATTACAGAGAATCACATTGGCCTTTCGTTTCTTAGTGCACTTTTGAAAATTATTTTGTTAGTTCTATGGGACATGAGGAATAATGTTTATTTGTGGACCTTTGTTTGTATTTGAAAATAACTCTTTATCTTCCTGATCCCATTACTTTCACATGTTCAATGAAAAATGTGAAAATAGCTACAGATCACTGGGGTGTAACTTTTTTATTTGTTCGCATTGCCCGATGACTTTACAGACCTTCACTTCAACAAAATGAAGACATACTTCATCTGACCAAACACCAAGCAAAAACAATCGACACATACAAAAAGAATAACTAAACATCATACATCAAGGACATTTTTATGGTGTGATAAACTGGCAACCCTTTTCTTATCCAGACAGCGACTTCGACCCGGGGGTTGTACATGTCTAAACACGAACATCTACATTAGCTGGTACGAATTCAGTGAAGCTTCAATTTACAACTGGAAACAAATTTTCACTCTTGTAAATCAANTAAATCAACCTTTTGTGATCCACAGTGGCCTTCGCACATTCCCTTACTTTTGACACCCGAACACTTGAATTTCATTCCCTTGAAATTTTCGTTTTTCTGTTAACTTTCTCAAACAAGCTGTCGCAAACCGTGACAAAAAGAGAATCAAAACTGTGCAATGCGAATGGTGAACACACGAAACGGGTCAACACCACATCACGGCCTAAATACGGTGTGTTCGAGTCCAATCACAGTTATCACCTAACATTTTTGTGCTTTCTACAGACAGTCTCTGATTTGCCGTCTTGCTTTCCCACAACTCGATCACATCAATGCCGATTTATATACCACAGGGCATGACAATCTAACATTGTATCAGTTCATTATTCCGCCTACGTGGTCGCCAGGACAACGCCAGACTGATGTAGACCTCCTTCTGCTGACACAGTAGGGGGTTCTGGGGGCTTGATTGTTATCGTCTCTGCAAATCTTAATGGCCGTTCATTAGGGGTTGTGTAAACAACTCGAAATGAAGTCCCACGATCGGCTTAGTGGTCCATCCGCAGCAGATGGGGAGCAATTGATGACGCGGGTGCTCTGTGAGACTGGCTTCATTATGTAGCACTCAGTCTCGCCCGCCCGCGTTCGACTCATACCGGTATGTGTTCAGCTACTCGGGTACGCAATTGCCTCTCTGTTCTGCCCACGTATGTAGCTCCGCACCCACATTGAAATGCATTGATTACATGCTACTTGGCGGATACGGGGTGCGGTGATTTCACCAAAGGTTATTGTGAGGCGAACGACCGGATTTGCGGCAAAATACGTGCTAGTTATAGTCGCCACCAGCCGCCATCATATGAGTTGGCATACCTAATCACATTTGAAAGGGAGTTGGATGATGACGTCGCATTTCGGTACTATCATACCTGAGGGTTTGGGCTCCACTTTTCCACTGTACAACGGTATAAACTTTACTGGGTAGCCATTGAGCTTCAGAACTTCCATGAGTCAAATTAGCTCACCTTCCACCTTATCCGAAGTGCACAGCCTCTTAGGTCGATCAAACAGAGTACGCACGAGGCCTCGTTAGTACTGGATTAGAGTGAAACTCTCAAAATGTATAAGCTGACCGGTCCAGGTGGATTTTACGATGCGTAAACTTCGAAATAGTCCTGTCTGGTCTTCGACTAACAACAATATCCATAAATGGGAGTGTGCTGTTATTCTCGGTTTCCATAGTGAATCGCATGTCCTTTTGAACTAAATTCAATTCAGCTAACAGCTCCTCAGTTTCCCTGGCGCTTTGGGTGATTATCAAAGTGTCACCGTTCAGTGCACTGCTGTTTT